AAATTACCCATAGTGCCCAGGGATGTGCAGGCTAGGTGGGTTAGCCACGGGAATTGCAGGGTGGGTCTGGATGAGATGCTCTTTGGTGGGATGGTGTAGACTCGATGGGCCAAATGGCCTACTTCCCCCACTGTAGGGATTCCATGATCCTTCTGTCAGCCCCACTATTTATTCTGTGGTGCTGTGGAGTCTGTGGACCATGTAGGCTGTGGGAGACTGCAGCCCCTCTTGGCCTATTTAGAAATCTATTGTTCTTTAGGAGAGACAGCACATAGTGTCCACTAGCACCCTCAAAGCTTTTAGAGAGAGGTGGACACTTTAGGGGCGGGGCACATTATCTTCCCCACCAACACGATGATTGGATTTAGTCCCTTCCCCTGTTTCTTCCGCCTTTTAGTTGTTGTTTGATCCATTGTAAATTGGGTGATCAGATAAACCGGTAGGGAGTGTTTAAAATGAAAGGACAGTGCTGGCTCTTTGGGTGATTAAGTGGGGGGCTTATTAAAAAGTGGAAAACAAAAAAATTGTGATCTTCAGAGTTTGTAATTTGTTAAAGTAGTTGATAGTTTGGTAGTTTGGAGGTGAATCTATTAAAAAAGGGATTTAGGCCCAAAACGTTGACTTCCCTGCTCCTGGGATGCTGTCTGTCCTTCTGTGCTTTTCCAGCTCCACATTTATTGACTCAGAAATAAATACAGCTTGGCTCATCCCCGCTGAGGAGTTGGAAAAGGAAAGGTGGAAACTGTTGTTTGTGGGAAACTATAGATTAACAATAGAACCCTTGTAAATCTCTGAAAGTCCTTTGCTGCCTACTTCAACCCTTTCAGACAGTGAGTTCCAGATACCTACCACCCTCTGAGGATAAAGAATTCTCCTTAAATCCCCGTCTGCCCTTTACTTTAAGTCCATGCCTCCCTGGTAATTGGCTCTTCTGAGGGGAAAGGAACTACATAGCGCACCTAGTGTCATTGAGTAAGACAGCATGGAAAACAGGCCCTTCAGCCCAAACTGGTCCATGCTGACCACGGTGCCCTCTCAGCTAGTTCCAATTGCCTACATTTGGTCCATATCCCTCTAAACCTTTCCGATCCATGTACCTATCCAAAAGTTTTTTTAAATGTTACTATTGTACCTGCCTCAACCACTTTCTCTGGCAGCCCATTCCATATACGTACCACTCTCTGTGTGAAAAAGTTACCCCTCAGGTCCTTCTTAATCTTTCCCCTCTCACCTTAAACCTATGCCCTCTAGTTTTCAATTCTCCATCTCTGGGAAAAAGACTGTATGCATTCATCCTAACTATGCCCCTCATGATGTTATACACCTCAATAAGGTCACCCCTCATTCTCCTACGTTCCAAGGAATAAAGTCCTATCCTGGCCAACCTCTCCCTATAACTCAGATCTACTAGTCCTGGCAACATCCTCATAAATCTACTTTGCACACTTTCCAGTTTAACTATGTCTTTCCTATAACAGGGTGACCAAAACTGTACACAATACTCCAAGTCCGGCCTCACCAACGTTTTATACAACTGTAACATAACGTCCCAAATCCTATACTCAATGCTTCGACCGATGAAGGCCAGCATGCTAAATGCCTTCTTCACCACCTTGTCCACCTGTGACGCCACTTTCAACGAACTATATACTTGTACTCCTAGGTCCCTCTGTTCCACAACACTCCTCAGGACCTTACCATTTACTGTATAAGACCTACCTTGGTTTGACTTTCCAAAGTGCAACACCTCACACTTATCTGTATTGAATTGTATTTGGCTGTCCTCAGCCCACTTCCCCATCTGATCACAATCCCCCTGTAATTTTTGATAACCTTCCTCTCCATCAATGATGCCTCCTAATTGTGTATCAACTGCAAACTTACTAATTATGTCCTGTACATTCACATCCAGGTCATTTATGTAAATAACAAAGGTCCCAGCACCAATCCCTGTGGCATATCACTAGTCACAAGCCTCCAGTCTGAGAAACAAACTTTGACTATCACCCTCTGCTTCCTACCATCGAGACAATTTTGAATCCAATTAGCAAGCTCTCCCTGGATCCCATGCGACCTATGACTAGCCTGCCGTGTGGGACCTTGTCAAAGACTTTATTAAAGTCCATATAGACAACATCCACTGCTCCCTCATCTATCCTCATGGTTACCTCTTCAAAAAACGGTTAAGGATTTGTCAGACGTGATTTGCCGCACACAAATCCGTGCTGACTACCCCTAACCAGACCTTGACTATCCAAATGTTGGTTGATTTTGTCTTTCAGTATCCTCTCCAATAACTTGCCTACCACTGATGTCACGCTGACTGGCCTATAGTTCCCCGGCTTATCTTTGCTACCTTTCTTAAACAATGGAACAACATTAGCCACCCTCCAGTGGCCAAAGATGAAGCAAAAATCTCTGCAAGGGCTACTGCAATTTCTTCCCTAGCCTTTCACAACGTCCGAGGATGGACTTGATCAGTCCCAGGGGATTTATCCACCCTAACGCGCTGTAAGGCTGCAAACACCTCCTGTCTGTTTCCCTTATTTCCTTAGCATCCATAATTCTCTCCTCTGTTAACATTGAAGAGAAATATTCATTAAAAATCTCCCCAGTCTCCTGTGGCTTCACACATAGACAGCCATGCTGATCTTTAAAGGGACCTATAATTTCTCTCGTCACCCTTTTAATACAGTTATAGAACCTCTTGTGATTATCTTTAACCTTATCTGCCAGATTTATCTCATACCCTCTTTTTACTCTACTGATTTTCCTCTTAAGTGTGCTCCTACCCTTTTTATAGTCATCTAGGGATTCACTTGAGCCTGATAGCTTAAATCCAATGTATGCCTCCTCCTTTTTCCTGACCAGAGCCTCAACATGCCTTGTCAGCCAGGGATCCCTAAACATGCCAGCTTTTCCCTTCACCCCAACAGGCACATACTGTCTCTCGACTCTTGATATCATACTTTTAAAAGCCTTCCATTTGCCAGTCATTCCTTTTCCTTCAAACAGACTCACCCAATTGACCGCTGCTAGATTCTGCCTAATGGCCCCAAAATTGGCCCTGCTCCAGTTTAGCACCTTAATCTGTGGACCTGTCCTATCCTATCTTTTTCCATAACTATGTTAAAACTCAGAGAGTTATGTTCACTGGACCCAAAGTGCTCTCCGACTGGCACTTCAGTCACTTGCCCCACCTCATTTCCTAACAGCTGGTCCAGTGTTGCACCCTTCCAAGTAGGGCCCTCTACATATTGACTTAGGAAACTTTCTTGGACACATCTGACAAATTCCAACCCGTCCAGGCCTTTTACACTCTGGGTGGCCCAGTCAACACAGAGGAAATTAAAATCTCCAGTCAATACTACTCTATTATTCCTACTGGCAACTGCGATCTCTCTACACAACTGCTCCTCTAGTACTCGCTGGCTATCTGGGGGTCCCAACAGGGTAACTATCCCCTCTTGTTTCTAAGTTCTGACCATATTTGATGACCGCTTAAGAATATCCTCTCTAAGCAGTTGTTATGTCCGCCCTTATCAAACGGGCAACTCTCCCTTACTTGTACTTCTGTCACACCCGTAGTTTCTGTATCCTGGAACATTGCGCATTCGTCTGGTCTATCTTTCTATTTCTATGCTCACTGGCGCGTGGCACTGGGAGTAATCTGGAGATCACTACCCTTGAAGTCCTGCATTTTAACTTCTTACCTAACTCCCTATACTCATTTCGCAGGACCCCATCCCTTTGTCTCCCCATGTCATTTGCACCATTGTGCACAATGACCTCTGGCTGTTCATCCTCCCCCTTCAGAATGTCCTGCAACCGCTCAGAGACATCCTTGACCCTGGCACCCGGGAGGCAACACACCATCCTGGTGTTTCTTCTGCGGCCGCAGAATCCCCTGTCTGTCCCCCTCATAACTGAGTCTCCTATCAGTATTACTGTGTCTGACTGCACCCTTTCCCTCTGAGCCTCAGGGCAGGTCACAGTGCCACTGACCTGACTGCGCTGCTGCTAGCCCCTGAAAGGTCATCCCCCCCACAACAGTATCCAAAACAGTGTACCTGTTATTGAGGGAACCCTGTACTATCTGCCTCCCCCCACTTTGCCTCTTCTGGTGGCCACCCAGCAACTTACAGGAGTAACCACTCCACTATAGCTCTTATCAATGATGCTGTCTGCACCCCGGGATGATACTGGGTGCATCCAGCTCCAGCTCCCATTCCCTAACACAGTCTGTCAGGAGATGCAGCCGGGTGCACTTCCCACAGGTGTGGCCACCAGGGACACTGGAAATCTCCCTGATCTCCCACATCCTGCAAGAGGAGCATGCTACTGCCCTCACTGCCATCCCCACTGCCTTCACTCTAGACAGAAAGTAAGTAGAGATGAAGAGCCCTTACCTATTTCCCTGCTCAGCCTCCTCACGGCGAAACCTGCTGGTAGCGCACACAGGCCACAGTTCAACTGGCTGTTTATCCCCTTTTCTTGTGTATTCTTGAAAGGGATAAATTGAAAACCTGTATCTCACCCGGAATGGTGTATTTTAGATCGTAGAATCCTTACAGTGTGGAAACAGGCCCTTTGGCCCAACAAGTCCACACCGACCCTTAGAGCACCCACCCAGACCCATCCCCCTATAACCCACCTAATGTACACATTATTGAACGCTATGGGTAATTTAGCACGGCCAATCCACCCAGCCTGCACATCTTTGGACTGTGGGAGGAAACCGGAGCAACCAAAGGAAACCCACGTAGACATGGGGAGAATGTGCAAACTGCACACAGACAGTCACCCGAGGGTGGAATCGAACCTGGGTCCCTGGCACTGTGAAGCAGCAGTGCTAACCACTGAGCCACCATGCCACCCATCATGTTCTCAGTGTGAGATAACATGCAGAAGATGATAGTTCAATTTTCACTGCATTCCTCTCATTGAACTCTATTGCTTTGAAGGTTTCTTGACGCCCTGTCAGGTGTGACATTCCAGCCTCTCTCTTTCTCGTGCGCTCTCTCTCTCTCTCTCTCTCACTGTCTCTCTCTCTCTCACATGTCAGACAGCCATTGAATTTACATTCACAGTAATTTTGACTGTATTCTTCATATTTTAAAGAAATGCATATTGGAAGTCGAACTCAATATGTCCATTGATGATCTGAGTTTATGATGAATGATCATGATGGTTTCAATATGGGAGAGCATTAGAATTGTGCCAAATGTTGTCTGTTCTTTGTGATTGGAACCCCTGATCTTGGCATCTTCAAGTGAGGAGGAAACGTGCTAGTATAACTCTGAGGAAGAGTCATACTAGAGTTTAAATGTTAACTCTTGTTTCCAAAGATACTGTTGGACCTGCTGATTTTCTCCAGCGTTCGCTCTTGTTTGTTTCCAATATGACTTCTGCTCAGTTGAGATTAATGGTGAGAGATAACACACTGATCAGCCTTTGTGTTTAATCTTTACACAGGAGTGCGAGTCAGTCCATGTCACTCAAGACAACCATCCATCATCTCAGACACTTCAATGCTTGAGGGTGAAAGGTCGTCCACACCGAGTGACATCAACTCACCGCGACATCGGACACACTCGCTCTGTAATGTAAGAAACACTCGTGGGGCCGCTAATCTATTCTGTATTCAATAACCAGGCAATCCTCAGGCCCCATGGTCTGCCAAAAGAGGTCGTGAACCCCCCCCCCTCCCCCGACCCAGTTTTCTAATGAATGAATGAATGAACATTGGAAGCTTTGAGTATTGCTTTCTCATTGACCGTACAACTACTTGCCCTGTAATTCCGGAAGTTTCAACTTTTCAAACTCACGCTGGACGCAAAGAAAGCCATTTTCAGTTTTGGTCAAAAGTGTGATATCATATCAACCGTCCACTAGAGGTGAGATCACAAGGATGTCAGAAATTAGAGTAGGACCTTCACCCCCACACCCCATGTTACCTGTAATCTGTGTCCTCACCTTACTGTCAGACAGGACAAAGTGCTGGTCCCTTGCCAAGTCTCTCTCCGGCTGTGCATGTTTGAACCCAGTAGATTATACCCCCATAAACTGGGTCATGTGACCACTATCTGACAACAACATCAGACTCAGTAGCTCCTGTTGAGCAGCTTGTGGTCTCCGCCGATGCAGTATTATCGTTGGAGTAGCTACTATCCATTTCTCTGAAAAACGTAAGGTGAAGACCCACCCAGAACCAGCTGATGACATTATAAATTAATACTTTGCATCAGCACATCTTCTTCATAACTTCTTTACCTTGGCTAAGATAACAAGGTGTAGAGCTGGATGAACACAGCAGACCAAGCAGCATCAGAGGAGCAGGAAGGCTGACGTTTCGGGCCTAGACCCTTCAGAAATGGG